CTATTCTCGTCGTCTGATATCGGTTTTACTGGAAATGACTGCCTGCACATTATCGCCAATTAATTCCCGAGTTGGAGAAGGAGAAAAATGCTGTTATCTGCTCAAACTTATGAGGACGTCGGGATCAGGACCCCCTTCTGAGAGGTTCCACAATGTCCCAATCTCTCGGACACTTGTTCACACAAACAAGCAGACGAACAATTAAAACTCTTCACCCGTTCAAACTGTTCAGTAAATAACTGCGGCATTTACTCCCAATTCACCTTCACCCTTAACAACTTGCCAACTACTTCACTTCTAAAGTAACTGAGGAATCGCAAATGAGCTAAAAACTGACGCCGAAGAACAAAAACAATAAATTAGCGTTTTAACCGGGCTCGTTAATTGGTTAGAGGCAGGTGGAAACTGCGGATTCCCAACTATTTCTAAAATTCCCGTTACCTGCTTAGTTAATCATTCAAAAGTTCGTTGCGCTAAGGGAATGAGGAGGCGGAGATGGGCGGATTAAGCCTTCATTGAGAATTATAATCAGCGTGTTCAGGTCTTGGGCCAACCTTTGCGCTCGTTTCCTTCAAGAGGTTTTATCGACTTTATCAGTGGCAGAACAATTTAATAACAGTTCCAGTTGATGGAAATGATCTAGGAACTAATAAGTTATGAACATCCCTCGTAACACCAGCTAGTCATTACCGCCAATTCCCATGCACTTGATTGGTGGAATCTGGCAGTAGCCATGGCAGCCAAGATGGATTTGAACCACAGGTGCAGTCTACCAGGTGCGGTCAATTAATGCACTGCGAAGAGCTGCATGTAAATTGCTCAACCGTGACAATGTTTAGCCAACTAAATCGGAACAAAACCAATGGAAAATTTCCAGACTAACGCGCTAATAATATAGAATCCAATCGATTTAGTTTCACTAGGGCGGCAAAGTTTTACTCGGCAGCGAATTTGATCGACTTTAAGTTTTGTATTCTTTAGCAAAACGACGGAGGGTTTAAAGTATTGCAGCTCGAGCTCCGTACGTGAATAAAGTGGAAACTGGAAACGAAAGACGGATGGGATTGACTTTGTTCGCGAAAAACTCGCTAAAAGAATCGGGAAATTTTCCATCTTTTGCAATATCCATCGTAAGAGCCTTAATTAGTTTCGAACGGCCTTAATTGCCTACTCCTGGTAGCTACAAGTGGAATTGGAAATTGTATTTTGATGAAAGAAAAACTGTTTTGCATTTGCAAAATTTGCTAAACATCAAACGTTTTTGATCTGCAAAGAGCGAAAAACGTTTTCAATACATTTTCTTGCCAGGCCCTACGAAAGGCACATTTTCTTTCTGGAATGATGGAAATGTGAATGTTCTGAGTCGTTTAAGTCTACGGAATAAATCTGACAAATGAGATGAAAAGAAAATCAGAATCACCGTCTTCAAATTTGAGTTCAAAATCCTCTTCTACACTCTGCTTAGAGCAAATTTTTTGGTATTAAATATCGTGAATGTCAACGTTTGAACTCTTCTCAAAATAAAGTTCGCGCACATTAAAAATGTTGAGAAAAGATTGTTAATAAAACTTGATTTCTAAACCCAATCGACGTTTCATGAAATACTTTCACCAGAGAGAAAGAAATCCATCAAATGAAATTAGAGGAAAATGCTCAATTCGAATTTTCCAATTAGAAAATGTTGAGAGAATTAGCGAAAATAATTGAGGAAATTTTCTTCTACACTTTGCTTGTAGCAAAAGTTCAAGATCAACTTTGTAACTCTTCTCAATCTTGAGTTAAAATTTAAAGAAAATGCAAAGAAGGCAGAAAAAAATAATAAATGTTGAGTTAAAAATTTAAATAATTTTCCGACCAGATAAAGCGAAGGTTTTATGATTAAACGGTGTGAATACCAACTTTATAACCCGTTTCAGTCTTTAGTGAAACAGTTGTAAAATAAATCTTACAAATTCCATAAAAGAACAATGACAATTTTTTAATTTTAAAAGATTCGGGCAAAATTCGGGAACATAATTGAATATTTTCTCTTCTATACTTGCCTTAGAGCAACATTTTTGCCGTTAAGGATCAACTTTCAAACTCTTCTCAACCTCGAGTTAAAAGTGCGGTTTTACACGGAGCAAAGGTGGAACATTTCTCAATAGCGTGGGAGAGAAAGTGTTTTTAAGCAAAATTTTCCCGGTTACAGGCCATAGCGTGTACTTTTGCCCAAAGGATTAAAGCTGGGCATGTTTGCTTGCGGTCTGGTCCAGCAGAAGAAAATTCGAATAGAAAATTCGTCAAAAATAAGAAACATTTGGCGTTTTGTTGAGATTTTTGGCAGTAATAAAGTCACTTATTCTCTTTCCGTTGCTAGTCGGCACATGTTTCCATTGTTTGTGGATTTAGTGTTACGATTTTTTCAGCTGTTGATATTTGTTGCTCGATGCTTAGCAAAGATTCACGATGGCTCCCGATTCAGGGAGAAGTAGTGACTTTTTTAATGAAATTTTCCACATTAGTGGAGTACTTTCTAGATTGTAATTACACTGTACATGTTGTAATTACACTGTCTCAAAAGAGAATCAAAATTTTGCAATTAAATAGTGTTTATCTCAACCTTCTAACTCTTATCAATCTGGAGTTAAACATTCTTTTATCCGTGCAAGCAAGGTGGAAGAAATTTTGACTCAAACTCTAAAATTTTGGGACTTTCCTTAAGAAACTTTTTAAGAATTAAGAACTTAAGAATATTTTAAAAGAGAATCTTACAAATTCAATGAACGAAAAATGGGACTTTTTGGGGGTAAAATTCGAGAAAATGATTGAGTAAATCCTTTTCTGCAATCTGCTTAGAGCAGAATGTTTGCTATTAATTAAACCATTTTTAATTTTGAGTACAAATTTAAACAAAATAATTTTTGCAAACGGATAAAGAATTTAATAAGCTTTACTTAAATTTGAAAATGTTTGGAAATTTGTTGAAATATTGAAAAATTTGAAATGTGTCACATGAACCATCTAGCTCTAGCCACTCTTGAGCTCAAATTTTTCCAACTTAAAAATGTAATAACAATGAAACTTGACAATTTTGGAAAAAAATCTTTAGTAAATCTTCATTTCCAGACCATGTATGTTTAGCCAAGCATTTTTCATTAAATGGTGTGAATCCGATCTTCTAACTCGCCATTTCCGAAGCCAGAAACTTGCCTCTTCTATAGAGCGTAAAGATGAACCCTCCATCTATTCTCAATCAAGAGATTTTGAAGGATCTTGATAATAAATTCAAGAAATTTGTGAGCAAATTGGCATATGAGATTTTTCTAGAAAACGGTTCAGAGCTGCACAGTTTAACTATTCATAATTTTAAATAAGGACACTTTGAAAACTCCCTGACAAATGAAGGGGAAGAAAAATAGCAATTACAACTTTCAAGTATGAAAATTTAATCGAAAGTGTGGAAAATTCATAAGCGCGTCGACATTTATAAAAGCAATTGAACCATGTTTGCCTTTTGTTTATAAAATGGAGCAAATCTCGCATTTAAATGTTGGAACAATCCGCAGAAACGAAAAAAGTATTAACCGCAATTACAAGCTTCACAGTCGTAAAGTTTGGCAAAAATCCGGGAAATTTTCTCGCAAATTGCAGGAATTATAAAGCATCATTTCCCTATAAAATAGCTCAAAAGTTACGATTTTAAGAGGGGTTTGGAAACGCCCTGGCAAATGAAATTCAGAAAAATTTACAGCAGCAATCGACAAATAATTAACAATAATTTTGCACAAGTCGGGAAAACGCATGAGAAAATCAAATTGTCTAATATCAATAGAATAACCCTTTGTCTATAGGATGGCGTAAAAGTCCCGGTTAAAAAACGTTTGAGGATTTTGAGATTAAACAAACACTGCAATTTCAGTCTTTGAAATTAAAATAATATATTGTTATAAAGACAAATTCACAATACAAAAGAGCAGGTGTTGTCTAAAAATTGGCGTCGAAGTCGGACTTGCAATTTTAGTCCGCAAATGGAAAATTTGTTGCAAAAATTCTGCAAAATAATTGAGTGTTTAGTAGATCCAAAAAACGAATTTTTACCGAGTGCCCCATACCAGGCACAATCACAAATTCAGAAGCCATTTAGTGCAGTGTGATTCGGTTGCATTTTTCGCGCAATAAAGCCCGTTTTGGCAAAACCCAGTGAAATTCGCCGGAAAGTCGACAAATTAGGGTCGCGTTTGAAAAAGTCGTTTTTAAATGTTGCGTGCGGGCAATTTCCGCATTAGAAAAATTCAAATTTATTTGGCGGCGACGATTTGCAACCCTTTTGTGTGCTTGTTTACAATTCATCTAATTGCCGCGTTGCCGATTTTGTGGCACTTTTGATTAGAAAACCTGCAAAGGGGTCCATTAAATCGCATTATTTATAGCGATTTTTCTTAAGAAACCAGCCACATTGCGGAGTATTTTGCGGTAGCGCCACTGCTTTTGATTTATTGATGGCAATGTACAGCAAACGCAATTAAGAGATTATGAATATAGTGAAGAAATAGGGGGGAGCTGGGGTTATCTGGAAATTGGGAAACTTTTAATTGGGTTTTCGGCATTCGGTTAAGCCGCCCTTTTTTCTAATTCCGTTGACGACTTTTCTGGTTCATCTACTTCAATGGGAATCAACTGGATTTGGAGATTTAATGGCCCAAATCCGGGGAACATTGAAAAAGTAACAAAAATTCCTGCGAATGTTTAGTTTGCTGCTTGTTTATTTGTATGTTTTTTCTCTATTTGACCGATTCTCGTTTGGGCCAAATTGAAGATGTATCTATGTATGAAAATATTCATTAAAAAACAGTAAAAGTTTTGAGCTCAACCTTCAATGAATTTTGAACATTGACAAAGGCAAAAGTTTGTTTACCAGTCAAAACACTTTCCTTAAACATAATTTCTCTAAAAAGCTGTAAAATGGGGCCCATTTTACATTGATTGTGAAATTGACTGGAAAAAATCTCAACACTTACTTATGCTCAGATAGTACTGAGTACCGATCTCATACGGGTCCCAAGTCAGGCCTCGATAGCGAGTTTTCTCCCTAGGGGTACCATAATCGGGTGCCTCTTTGTGGATGCCAGGAGCGTTCGGGTCGCCGCTCTTAGCAAAATTGCTCACAAAGTTCAGCAGCGCTTCGGACACGCCCATATCTTGCTTCGAGTAGTTCTGAGGAAAGTAGGGAAGTCCTCCTACAAGCGGCAGCCCCAATATGTAAGTTAAGTCTTCGCCCCTCACGCTGCCTAGGCGCTAAGAACCAGAAAAGTTGGTTAAAATGTATAGATTTTTGTTAATTGTTGAAAGGTAAATTGGGTGAGTTTTTGCTAGATTTAGAGACGAATGGTAATTGCAAAAAGCCATCGAACTTCACAATTTTGCGATAGAAATTATATATATAAAATTGCTAAAAACGCAGGACAAAATTCAACAATCAAAGTTTACAATCGATTATCATTAATGTTTCACAAGATAAACGTGTTTTCTGGCTCCATCCAGAGCGCTAATGGTTCCCTCTTCGATAGAGCAAAGCTTTTGCTGCAAAATAACGCAAATATTTTTATTTATTTTTTTTTAATATAGGGAAAAATTCTTTATTAGACGATTAAAATCGTATAGGTTCTTGCGCCAATTAACATTTCCAGAGCAACTGAAGCAAAGTTGCCTCTATCAAATGGCGTGAATTCTAGTTTGTTGCAAAAAGCTCACAAAACCGATGAAGAAAAGCTCCAATTGCGTCTTTCACACTTAAAAAATTGTCAAAAAGTTGAGGAAATTATAGATTAAATTAAAATCTGTCGCCGGCACCGAGAAAAGTATCAGTTATCGAGCAATTTCAACACTAGCCTTTGGACACGTCTGATCCTCAAGTTACCAATTTAAAGTCGCTTTGCAACAGAGGTAAAAGGAAAATGACATCTACCATGTAAGAAAAACTTGTCAATTTTAAGAGAGCAAATAGAGCAATGCGTGGTCCAGAGGCTTCTTTAGTTAAATTGGTATCTGAATTTTGAGTCCACAATTAGTCAACCAAATCTTACAAAGGCCAAAAATCGGCATTAAATCGCCAATAGCAAGTTAACCAGTCTTTTTTGTAAAACATCTTATCTAGAAAATGCTGGCAAAAATTAACAAAATTATTTGTAGAATCTTTATTTGCAGGCCACAGAGAGCACAGTTTTTTTTCTTTAATGCCGTGAATATCGATCTTTACCTCGCCCCAGTCTTAAGCGACATAATTTTCAAACGGAAGGAAAATTTTTTAAAAACTTTCGACTGTCGGAAAATGCAAATCTCCAAATTGTCTGAATTTGGTACAAATTCGGAGTTCCGATCCAGATTTGTCCTAATGTCTAGCACATCGTCTGCTCATTCAGTAAAATTGCAAATCTGAATTTTTAAAAGAAATTTGCAAATGGTGTGGAACAAACTTAGGACAAAATGTAGGAAACATCAAATAAATTTTAGATCAAACGCAAGCAAAAGCAGAGCAAAGATATTGCCACTATAAGTCGAGTTTCAGTAAGTAATTTTTCGTAAGATGAAAGGACTCCATTTCAACACTGAAATTTCAAAATTTTGGCAAAACTCGAGACATTTCTTGAGTAAATCGTCATTTCCCAACCTGATAGAGCATGGGTTTTTGCATAAAGCAACGAGAACATCAGTCTGATACCTCAACTCAGTCTTGAGCAGCAGAAATATTTCTTTGCAAACTATTCGGAAGAAATTTTTAAAATTTTAAAAATTGTTGACTGAATCGTCATTTCAAAGCCAGATAGAGCAAAATTTTCTTCATGGAGTGGGGTGAATTTGATTGGCAATGAATCATTATAATCGAAAATAATCTTGCGAATTATAGTCTTCACATTTGAAAATGTTTGAAAAAATCTGGAAAATGTCTTAAAAAAATGTTTGGTCAAAAATGTTTGCAGAAACCGAGAAAAGTATTTAGTAAATTCCCTTTTAAAAGCATAGAGCAAAGTTTTTCCGATTGAAAAACGTAAGCACGGACCTCCTCGTTCTTCTTAGAATAGAGTCCCATTTTTTACACCATTGCAAAATGTTGGCTTCAATCGCTAAAACTCTTGACTGAATTTCCACTTTTAGGCCATATAGAGGCAAGGTTTCTCCATTTAAGGGTGCAAACATAAACTTTTCATCATGACTTCGTATTGACGCATAAATTTGAAATTTGGAAAATGTGGGCACAATTCTAGCAAATTTTTGAATAACTTCTCTTCTAGAGCATCTGTAGGGCAAGGCTCGGGCTATTAAAAAGAATTTTTTGAAGAATCCGTACAAACGAGACGGAAGGAAATTTGTAATTATACCATCAAACTGGAAAATTTTAATAAAAATTGATCAAACCCTTCACCTGAATCTTAATTTCAGGGCGACATAGAGGCAATTTTTCTTCATTAAGCTTTGTGATCTTCTATCTCTTCACAGTATTTATTGATACAAAACAATTCGTACTTTAAAATTTGAAAATGTTGGTAAAAATCGGAAAAATTCTTAATATTTTTTTTTGTTCAACCTGCGTACAGTAAAGTTATGGCTATTTCATAGCGTAGACGTGAATCTTCCAGTTCTTCGCGAAATGGAGTGTTTGAAAAAATGTATTCAAACGACATTGAAGGAAAATCGCAATTACAAACCTTGCAATTGTAAAATTTGCCAAACATCGAGGACATTTTTGAGCAATTCTGCATTTGAAGGGTCTTATACGGCTCGATTCTCTCTAGAAAACGACTTACAGGCCAACCTTTTAACCAATCGCAGGTTGAAAGGGCAATTTTTGGCAAATTAAGAAAAATTTGCATTCGCAAATTTCATTGTGAAAAATCTTGCGAAAGTGACGAAAATGTTAGAGTAAACAAACATTTGCTGTAGTAATAAAGTCAGTTTTTGTACATAAAATGGCGAATAAGTGAGTTGTTTGCTTTTTAACAATTTTGGGTGTTAAAATTATGAGAGGTGGACTAAAAATCGCCTGTTATAATTTCGGCAAAATCAAGGGATTTTTCGTGAAAATCGGTATTTGATAACATCACGGAGTAAGTTTTCCTCCAGAAAATGGCTTGCAAGCTATCTTTTCCAACAAGTTGCCATTTGAAATGAAAATATTGTTAAAAGGACTGAGCAATGAAATGATAGACAAATTGCGGTTGGAACCTTCACTGTTAAAAATTGAGCAAAAGTGTGGAAATTGTTTCAGAAAATCGACCTCATGTAGCAAGCGTTCTTCTAGAAAATTACCTATCGTCAACCTTTTCACTAGTCACAATTGAAGAAAAATTAACAGTTGCAACTTTCAAAGTTAAAAAAATTTATAAAAATGTTCAAAATTTTTCAGATAGCAGTAAAGCTGTTGCTTGGATATAAAATAGTAAAAAAGCTTGATTTTTTATTGTTAACCCCTTTGTGTTATAAAATTTTAAAGAAATTCCAAATAAACAACGCAATAAAATAAACTCGCAAACAAACTTACCAACTTTTCGAAAATCTAGCAAAAATCGAGAAACTTTTGTAGCAAATTGGTCTTTGCAAAGTTTCCTCTATAAAATTACCTTTCACGCAACCTTTTAGCGAACCGCAACTTTAGAGGAAACTGTTTTGACAGCCACCCGACAAATAAAATGGTGCAAAATGTACAGCTGTAACTTGCACACTTAAAATAGTTTGCAAAAGTGTGGAAATTGCTTGAAAAAATGGGCATTTAAAATATCAGTAGAGCCGTTTTTGGTCCATTAAATGGGGAAAAGACTTGATGTTTGATTTTTACCAATTTTATGTGATAAAATTTTGAACCAATCTGGGGAGATGGGAGATGGAATCGAAATCATCACTCCAATTGTCACAGTTTTTGAGCAAATCGGCATTTTGAGGCATCAAAGAGATCAATATTTGCTCTAGAAAACGATCTAAATACGAAGTTTTTAACCGATTGCGATTTGAAATAAAATCAAATTTAACGGTATGACGAATCAAACGAAAGAAAAAATGTAGGTGCAACGGGGAAAACAAAAAAAAATAAGCGAAAGTGTGGAAATTGCTTTTGCAAATCGACATATGCATTATAGTCGTCTCTTGTCTACAAAATAGGGTAAAACGCAAAATATTTTTTGTGAGGCAATGTTGAACTAATCCGTTCAAACAATAAATAGCTAAAAAGCAGCATCAGAGTTGTAAAATTTAGCAAAAATCGAGGAACTTTTCGATCAAAACGGTATTTGCAAGTCTCATAGAGCAAGGTTTCTTCTATAAAATTATCTATAAGATCAACCTTTTATATGCCATTCAAAATATTTTTTTTTTAAATATCCGACAAATGAAATGAAGGGAAATTGAATTGAAAAATTGAAACTGGAAAAAATTCGCAAAAGCGTGAAAAATTATTCCAAAAATCGACATTTACAACAGCAGTAGAGCCTTTATTATCTAGTAAATGGTAAAAACTTGAAATAAATCGGTGCAAACTTGACGCAATAAATATTGCAATTACCAGCTTCACAGTTGCAAAATTTAGCAAAAATCCAGAAACTTTTTGAGCAAATAGGTACTCGGAGATCTCATAGAGCAAAGCAACCTTTCTTCTAGAAAATAATAAGTAAGGTCAACAACAATCAATCAATCAATCATCAATAAATAAATGAGATCAATCTTTTAACCAAGCGCAATTCGAAATAATTTTTTTTAATGCCAGACAAATAAAATGAAGAAGATTGAATTGAAAAATTGAAACTAGAGAAAATTCGTAAAAGTGTGAAAAATTATTCGAAAAGTCGACATTTACAACAGCAGTAGATCCATTATCTGCCTAGTAAATGGCGAAAACTTTTTTTTTACAATTACCATCTTCAGAGTTGTAAAATTTAGCAAAAATCAAAGAACTTTTTGAGCAAATCGGTACTCGTCGATTTCATACAGCTTTAATTACATTTAAGCCTTGGCATATATTTTCAAATATATGCCAAGGCTTAAAGTAGCAACAACGCTACACATAAAAGCTGATGATGGTGGAAGACACCAAAACGTATTTTAATTGATAATTAGAGACAATGAATGACTGAAGCCCAGGAATTGATTTTGATTTGAAATTGAAACACAGTAAGGAAAGTATGTACAACTTATAACCAATCGCAATTTGAACTGAAAATTTTTCGAAAATGCCGTGGCGACTGAACTGGTGGAAAATTTACAGTGCAACTTTGAAACTGGAAATATTTCGTAAAAGTGCAAAAACAGCATCAGGGCCATTATTTGTCTATAAAATGGCGAAAACTTAACACAAATCGGTGCAAATGTGATGCATTAATATAAACAAAAATCTACAAATGTTAGCACAAGTGGGGAAAGTTCTCGAGAAAATCGACATTTGCAGCCGTAATCAGACAAATGTTTATCTTTAAAATGGCGTAAAAGTGCGAGTTTTAGCTTTTAACGATTTTCACTGATGAAAATCACCCAGTAACAGGTTTGACAAAAAGTGATAAAACTTTAGGTAAAATTTTATAATTTTCAGTCGCCCTTCAAGGCAAAATCCAGTAGCAATCCGGAACTGGAACCGTTGCCAAATAAAACCAAAATCTGAGTAATAAGTCCGCAAATTCCAGTTAAAATCGAGCCAAACCCATACTTCTTCATTTTCATACCTGGGGATAGTCGCTGTTTTTCGTCTGGTACCCAAAATGGAAAAAGTACGTCTTGGCACCCCGCCGGGCATGGAGGAAAGCAACCCGAACAGCCGGCGCCACTGTGTGCCCATCACTTAGAGCCTCCATGGTGGAGTCCCGAATATTAATGGGATGCGGAATGGGCTTGTCCCAGTCCGTGTACTCGTTCCTCACTGCACTGAAAATCTCGTTCAAATGGTACACGTAAGTGTTCCGGATGTAAGTCCGCAGCACTCGGTTCCGATGGTCCTCCTCAAACCCATACTGGATATCGTTGGCGTTAAAGTCTGCATAACTTTCCGTTGTGGTGATTCCCAGCATCACTTCGCAAGTTATGAAGGAGTCGCTTGCATGCTCCATCGCAAAATCCGGATCCGAAGACTCTGGGTCGACTGGAAGAGCTGGGGCGATTTGAGGCATGAAGCGCACACTATCCAGTTGCAGCTCTTGAATGGCTTCAATCGGCCTGCAATCAAATATTCCCCTTTTGTCTGTGGAATTAAACAAACCAAAAGTTACTAACCTGGACCTCATGCAAGGAGCAATGTCCGCTCCATCGGTAGCTTTGGAATCTTGAGGCAAACAGCCCATCTGCTTGCCAACACTCAACCGCAAACTATCGGGATTATGGACGGTCGCCCAGGAACTCAGTGCCGTGCCACTCAACAGCATCACTCTCTGGAAGAGACCTTCGGGAGGAAATCGCATTAAACTCCTCTTCACCACTAATCTGTTGGAGGGTGGTGTCAAGTGGTTTATTAAGAAAGCGGGAGCCGAGGCGCGCAATTACTCGAGGTCTGTTTGTTCAGAATTTACAGGATATTAAAGAGACTCAAGTTGCGTTCGCATTTAAATTGAAAAATTAGTTTCGCCGGAGTGAATTAAAAATTTGTATCGGGATTTCGTTGGCACAGTTTCGGTTCGGCTCATTAAAATGCCTGTTTTCTGGGGATTTGTTGGGGTTTTATGCCTGCCGACTATTCCGAAGGTTTTTTAAATTATCCAGGCAAATCAGTTGTTTTGTGCATTCGCGGTGTAGTCTACTTCTTTGTATTATAGGTGACGATTCCCCAACTAAATTTAGAGCGATTCCTGTCTGAACTCTGTAAAGAAACCGACGTGGAACTTCGGAAACAAATTGTTGGTTCCCATTGTCAACTCATTAATTTCCCGATTTATTTGTGTCAATTCGTCTGTCGCGGATAATTAATACGAGGATCTTTTCAAGGGATTTATTCAGTGTTTGCAATTACGCCCGAGTGTCATTAGACCGATCTGAATTCAAATTAAATTTTAATTCAATTAAAAGTGTCCGCTTTTTCTTTTGCCCTCTCGACGACTTTTTTCTTTGCCCGTTGTTCATTTATTTATTTATTTCTGCCTGGGAAAACACGATCATTTCCATAGCGGCGTGCCTAAAGAAGCAACCGGGGAACAGGGAGTGGAAAGAAAGTGCAGAAAAATATGCCATTCTTGAAGATTTTAATAGGCGAATAGGAAAATATGGAAGAGATCGAGAAATAACTAAAAACACCGGAGAAAGACGCAATGTGACCGCAAAACGACCAAAAATATTAAATCGCTCCTGTCAACACAAGGAGATTCAGAATCACACAGGGATTCAAAATACACGAAACCTAAAATCCATGATAGACTGTGTAGGAGTGAAACAGCAAACAAAGTTGAGGGTGGAAGATGTATAATGAACATTTGGAATTGCTTACTAAGATTAAATCTAACTAAGATCAAACATCAGACTCCAGACAATCAAACAGGAAGCGAAGAATAGAGAAGATAATGACGAGTCACGATTTAATCTGAAAAACCTCGAAAAACAGGGCAGAAGAAAGTTATACCAAAAGAGATCGAAGAAAAATGAGAAAAAACATCAGGAAGTTACAAAAAGGGCAATCAGAACAAATAGCTTCGGTGGAATGAGGACAGTAAATAAATGACAGGAGAGAAAAAATAAAAATACTTGAACTCAAAAAGCCAGAAGATCAATCAGAATATAGAGGGGCACAAGCACTGGAGAGTAGGAAAATGTGCGAAAAGAAAAAAGATGCATGAGAAAAAGGTGTCAAAGAATAAAGACTTCTATCGAAGGAATCAGAAGCTCAGAAAATTGAAAAAAATTAAAAGGCTCAGAAACTCGATTTTTCAGAATACTTTCGAGTACTACTCGTTGGAAATAGGCAAGAAGAATGTGTTTTTGGTCCCACGTCATTCTTGGAAGCAATGGAACGCAAATGAGCGCTATATTCAAAAAATGGGAGACGTCTAGATGCGCAAACTATCGGGGCATCGTGATCACAAGCATTATCACATGCAATGTACGGAAAAAATTTGAAAAATAAGATAGAAAAAGAATACCAAGAAATGGAAGCAGAAGAACTAGCTGGATTTTGTGCGGGTCGATCAGTGGTGGACCAAATATTCACTCCAACGCAAGTTATTGAGAAAAAGATGGCAATCAACCAATAAATCCATCTCTTAGCTGGGGAGCTGGAAAAGCCAAAGGAAATGTTCTATTAAGAAAATTCCGTGACAATTTTGAGAAACTGAACTTAAATTTAGATCTACCAAGCCATCAAGAGTGTCTACAAACACTCAGAAATGAAGATAACACCAGGCTTCATAGGATCAAAAGCTTTGTAACCAGGATGCTGTACCTCACCGATCTGAGTCGAAATATAACTGGGAGATCCCTGAAAAAATTTTACCAAAAAACAAAAAATAAATTTCTGAGTCAAAATCAGTCAAAAAGAGCGACCATTCGACACCGAAAATGCCAGGACAGAAATGCGCTCGCCATCTGAAAAGCACCACTTTGGGACAGAAGCTTCACCAAACAGAACAACAATCTCATTTCTAACGCGACTGTAAAAAGCACAATCACCTCCGGGATAGAAGTGTGACCATTGAACGAAGCGATCGAAAAACGCCTAGAAGCAAAAGAAAATGATTTCTGGCGCGCTATGAAAAGAGTGTCCAGGCGACAACGCACAACACAGAATGTAAGAACACATAATCCCGAAGCCAGGTGTGAATGGGCAGCCAAGAGAGGGAAGACCGCAAAAGATTTGAAGAGGATAGATCGACAGGAAACTGACAAACAGCGAGCTTGAAGACCATTGATGGAATGCCCAAGACAGATGAAAAATGGAAACTGAAAAACGTCGCAGAACGCTATAAACCTATATATTTAGACATGGATAATAGAGATAAGTTCTATATTGTTGATGCAGATAAATTTTTTTACAAACTTCTTTTTGGGTATTTTGCCTCAAAAATTTTCGTCTTTAAGAAAGACATAATTTCCTCATGTCTTTTATTACAGATTGATAAATAGTGCTTCTATTTCGCAAAAAGAACGAATTATTTATCAAAAAGTAATCAAGAACTATCACCTAGAGGGTATCCTGCGACACACTTAGGCTCAAGCTGTAAGA